CCCTAATCCGCTTACACAAGCAACGGTCTGTTCTGCCGATGTAACTGCTTACACAGTTACAAACAAACCGATAGATACAGTGCATTGTGGCGGAAACCGGCTTAGTAAGCTTGACTGGGGTCAGTAGTAGCTTCTTGGTTGCCCAGAGAAGGCAGAATTTAGCGGCACCAAATGCACGCTGTATTGCAACTGCTGTGCATCGTTCTACCTGCGTAGCCAGAACATCCACTTTGAAGGGTAGTCGCAGATAAACAGGCAATTTTGGCACAGTAAGAATGACCGGCTGTTCACTTTCCGCGGGGCGGCTATGAAACCTAATAAAAGTTCCTGGGTAGCCATTTGACCCTAGGGTCTGCGTGATGAATTACAATTCAGCCTCGATGCATTTCGTACTGCATATCTTGCAGGCCCGATTGGACAACGCTTTGATAAGGCAACGCTTGTATTAAACCAGTTTAACCGGTGTCCATACGAACCGGTCCAGGTAGCTTTCAGGTAAACGGTGCGCTGTATCGTCCCATCTTCTCACCCCATCAGTAGTACATCCAGAATAGGCAAGGGGTTATCATTCTCAACTTCACAGGTGAAGTGGGCATGTGGGTGTGCAGCGTTCATAACTCTGCGAAGGGAGTGAGCTGCCTCTAAGGATGGTGCGATCACCGATGTGTCGTCCACATTCGTCCGAGGTCTGACTCACAGCGTGACTCGACCAATGCCATGAAGATGTCCGCCAGCAGAGAGCCAACGGGACTCCCCATAGCCAAGCCATCAACCTGTCAATATGCCTGTCCCGCGAACATAAACCATACGTTTTCCGTGCGAGGTAGCAACATGGTATCATCTTGCAACATTCGTCTCCTCATTGTGCTATTCAAGTTAATAATGGGAACTCAATGCTTCAAGTTTTTACTGAACTCAGTTTTTCGAGCCTTGTTATCCTATTCTTTTCACACGGTTTTTGTTCTGCAATTAGGCCCAATTCATTTTGAGTCTCGTGAAGGCCAACCGCACTCGCAGACAAAGAACAGTGAATGTTACACACCATGAATCACATGTTTAAAGGACGAAACGCTAGCTAAATCACAAGTATGCTCCAAGTATGCTTCAGATCCTACTGATAAAATCAGCACACTGGAATCAGAACTTCGGACAAAACGGAGCCGGCACAGCTGAGGAGCACAGGACAAGTAGTTGTCTCCACTGCATCGAAGGTACACGAGCGACCACACAGAATATATGATTGCCAACGGCGTGGTCATATAAACTGAATTTGCTGGCACGTTCGATAGGGTGTGCAACTGTTCACTGTTGATCGAACACTTGACTTAAAGTACTCCAACGACAATGCTGCCATCTATGAGAGCTCAGAAAGGTGTCAAGCAGAACAGCAAAAATTAGCGCTGGCCATCAATAACTTCGGACTACGCTTTGTACACTTCCAAATGCAAACTCCTTCAACATTGGCTAGGACTCATCCCAGACCAGTGCCTTTGCCATGATCTGCTAGAACTAGTCCAGAAATTCAAGTACCTAGGCAGTTATATTGGCGTCTGTGGAATTAAGGATGAGATCAAGAACCGTGTAGCAAAACATCGAGACGCATGTGCCAATATTCCCCACATGTGGCACATGCGCGACATCACCCCCACCCTGAAGGGCAGAGCAAACAATGCAGTCGTGCGTCCAACCCAACTGTACGGGTACGAAACCTGATCCATCAGGTCGACAGGCATAGAGATCCTTGTTACGTTCGATCATCGCTGCCTACGCAGCTCAACACATTTCTAATGGGACACTACGTGAGTAATGTGTGTTCGGCCTCGCCCATTTAGTACAGTTAGAGCGAGCGGATCGCGCAGCACCGTTAGATCATACAAGAGGTTCCGATGGCTGCGCCACATGTTGCGCATGTTAGCAAACCGACTCTCAACACGTGCGTAGTTTGTGCGTCGGGGGTGTGGATGGAAGCGGAGGGGATGGCAAGCAATGAACTGGTCAAGAAGAATGAAGTCTCTCTTCGAACATGGCGTCGGTTGGTGTCTCCCGACTGAACACGTCTCTTTGCCTACACTAGTTGACATGGTAAGGAGTCGATCTCAGTGGCGTTTGTGTTGTGTTGTGTCCGATCCCAGAGCTCTCATCTTTCCTCTCCAGCAACGATATCACACATCACGGATAATGTCGTAGTTAGCATTATATTACTTGCATTTTTAGCTTTTGCATTCTGTAATGTTTAATACCTCGCTTTTTCATATACTTAGCTTACGTATTCCAGCGCAGTTAGCTAAAGTGTGTTTCATACCCTCAGCTAATGCGTAATGATTATAACAAATTGACAGCAGTCGCGTTACGACTGCAGTTCTAACATCCCGAATGCCTTGTTGGGTGAAGAATTTTCAAGACCAGTTCAGCTGATCCCTGCATCTGTAACTTTGCTTACTCAAATGATGCAAGATGAGCCATGACCGATTAGTTTAGTAGCTCCGTCGGAGGCTGAGGAGGGAATAGCGACCACAGCCCTCAATCGTTTTCGTGTCGTTGGCCCGAATTCCCTCTATTCTGCACTACTTGAGTATGGTGATGAAGTTCTCTGCAAAGCATTGACCTCCCTGATCGAACATGTCAGCAAAAAAGAGAACAGCCCAGCTATCTGGGGTGAACCGATTACAGTATCGACATACAAGAAGGGCAGTCGCATGGACTGTGCTAACCACAGAACTATTAGCCTAACGCCAGTGGTGGCAAAATTACTGGCCGTAATACTCATTTGTCGCCTCAATGTGGGACGGGAATCCAGCAGGTTTCCGGCCAGGAGGGGAATGTATGGACCACATACTCACTCTGCAGTAGAGGCTAGAGCAGCGTCGCGAGTACCGCAGACCGACAATGGCTGTGTTCCTCGACTTCAAGAGTGTGCGACTAAGTCGATCGATCGATTCCGTCCGGAACACTTGCGCGAAAAACTGTTCCCATGAAGGATGCGAACAATTTACGTACTCTGTAGAGGATATCGTCATTAAGCCGGTACGCAGTACCGACGCTCCAATGCCGCGCAATCACCACTGGTTGCGCGTGGGCCACGGATACTGTGAGGGTCGCTCGGTCCCATCGCAAGCTAGATCCCGCACCCTCGGATTACAAGGCAGGCTTGGGCTCCTTTAGGCTACGGGCCGGTGCTCTGTAGAGCTGAATACCAACATTTCAATGGTGTACAAAGCACATTGTTAACTTGAACACCACTGGTCACCTGAGTGTACACTGACTTTACGTCAACAGGAATGTCCAGTTTCCCGATGCTGGTTCAACTTCGTTGTGGATTCCATCATGGAGTGTTCCCACGTAGAGTCTCATGCAAAGGTGCTGCCTGGTGGAAAAGATTGTTGAGCTTATAATTTCAGAAGGGTATGAAAACGAACGGTTGGTAGAGTTTTCAAACCATTCTGAAATCATGTGTCTTCGATCGGTCCCAAACATTTTCCAGCATGCTTTTTGACTTGAATATGCGGATGATAATGCCATGCTGCTAACGACGTTGGATCGGCCCATGCAACCATGAATAAACGCTCTAAAGTGGTCCCATCATTTGGCATGTGATTCACACCTTCAAAATGAAAAGTGCTGTTACGGGACCACCAGTCACTTGAGGACCGCCCGAATCTAGACAACAAGTCATGGTAGTTGATAAGTCCACTTACCTTGGCAACTGCATCAGCAACGATGGGCCCATAACCACTAAAGTTAGTCACGCAGTGGAAAAGCTAGATGTTCTTAATCTTAAATCTGTTACATATGTGGCATCCAAAGGGGTTTCTCTCGGTTTGAAAGACCGTATTTACAAGGCCACAGCGATGATCGTCCTACTCTATGGGAGTGAGAGAGTTCTTTCGATCAGCGGATCTGAGACACCTTCTATTCTTTGATTATCACTGTCTGTGAAGCACTGCTGGTGTCGGATGGCACCAGTGTGTCCGCAACCATGATGTGCGTAGACAAATACTAGGCAGGGATAATCAAGCTAGTTCCTTAGAACAAAAATATCATTAAACAAGTTGCGTTGGCTTGGACACGTACTACATATGACTGGTCACCGTTTACCGAGGCGGACCATGTTTTGTTTGCCAGATGTAGGGTGGCGCAAGGCCCGAGGCGGAAAAAAGTTGACTTGGCAGCGAGAAAAGAAGTCACTGACGACCGAACTTGGTGCCGCCAGTCCGTCTCGTCTTCCAGTCTTGAGTCGAAGTGATTCGCTTTGTGTTTGGCTTGAGACATGGCGGGGACATAGTGGGGTAGTGGTTGATTGCGATGTGGGGCGGTGAAAGCCGCAAGGAAGCTGTCCCGCCGATGGTGCCTTATCTTTGCACGATAACTAGCTATTTGTGATGGTATGTTGTTGACACAACATGTAGGCGGCTCGAGCCTGAATGTTTGGTTAGGACATGAAGGTTTCACGCTAGGCCCCCTCCTCTCTTATTATTATTCGTTCCAAGTCACAGTGGTTATACGGCATGAACTCAAATGGCTGATGCTATCCTGTTTATGATGACTATGACCGCAGATTACTTTCCTAGGCACATCATCGTTGTGGGTACACTGCTGCTATCCAACGCCAACAATGTGCCGCGGGTAACAATGATCGGAGATGTGAAGGCGCCTTGGATCGAAAAAGTAAAGTCTCACTACCACTGTGGCCTTGTAAACACAGCCTTTAAGAAGGAGCTATTTTAAAGGAAATCTCTCCATCTAAGTCAATGAAACAAGCGGTAAACCCCAGACAAGCGCAGACACGTGACAATCGCGAGACAGTCAGTCATTCACTATTCTGCAATATGGGGATTTTAACTGACCAGGTCATCTTCATGGGAAAAATACAAGTACTACTCCAGTCGTGCGATGCGATGCTGAGAGCGAACAAAAGCGAAAGGACACTCTGCACAAATGAGCAGCAAAAATGAACATTGGTCCAATGAAAAGTAAATGACAGTAGATTGAAGGAGACTCACCGTATATTTCTTGACTAATACAGTAGTTTCCAACGCCAGACTCTGTTCTTGTTCCACGTCGTAAGCTACGTAACACAATTTTTCTTTCATCTGACGAATCGTTTCGAAGTCCGCAGTTTGGTTAAATGCATAACCACGAAGCAGTAGGAGCTAAGGATAAGGAGTGTAACCGGCTACAATCAGCAAAATGAGAGATATATCAAATGGACCACCGTGTGGTGATGGCGCAAACAAAAATCAACCCCCCATTGTGGTTATCGACTCTGCTCAAAACTGAAGCCCGCTGGGCTCAAACGACTACGATGGGGTTTGGGAATGTAAACCTCAAGGACGATTAGAGGGAGTAGCACACCGGCCACATGATTGGTGTAAACAACAAACAAAAGTTGAAAACTTGTGAAAAGAACAAATAAGAATAGGAGAGCAGAGCTCGAATCAGCTGAAAAAGCACTTTACTTTTAAGCCAAAAAGCACTAAACCAGTTTTTGAGGGTGGAGGCGCACTACTAGCGTATTTGGTCTGCTTTCTCTCATTTTAATTCCACATTTGTCAATGCTAGTCACCAATTCACCTGACCCATTCTACATATCACAACCACAATTCACCACCCTAATAATTGCCCTGCGCGAACGTATGCCTCTGTGCTAAGAGCACAATAATAGATGATGTAAAGTGCACATGCTCTTGAATCGGAAAATGAATCAGAGCCATAAGTGACGCAATGAGTGGCCGCCAGAGAACTCGGTCACCACACCACTGATTTGCCATGGTCGACTCGGCTGACTGATCTAGACAAGCTGCACGAGGAGGGACTGGATATATACGTTTTCTACTAAGTTGGCAAAGAAGAAGTAGGGTTACTTGACCATGGCATCAGTATTGTAATATCTGACCGCCTGATGGAAAACCCGACTAGTTCAGTGTACATTACGGAGTAAGCCTTCTAAATTTATTACGTGTGATGGTTTTAACATGCGGGTCAATGTGACAGCATGGTGTGCACAAAGGTATTCGGGCCGCGTGACATTGTCTTAGCAAGTGGAAAAGATGACCGCCCGCTCTGATTGTTCTGACGATCACAAACATGCAGTTCCCATGCGGCAGTGGTGATACTACCACTTGGATAAAGCAGAGAAGTAGACACGCTCAGTAGGTCATCGTTCGCGGGCGAGACATGTGTGAATAGCGCGTGGTGCTTGTGCTGCGCAGCGCTGATCAAATCACATATTGGCGCACACCAAGTTGCATACATATTTTCGTAGTGTTGTTTCTCTGCCATAGACTGACGGGAGTTCAATATTCATGCTTCGGGTAATGTTGAGAAGAGATGTGAACTAGAGAACGCAATAACGACCTGCTATGGTGATGTCAAATCCACTGATTCAGTCAGTGCTTCATGTCATCACCTGAAAGAACAGGTAAACATCGATATTAAGGCGATGATAAGGCGCGTAGATTGTAGGCTGCCCGACTGCGCTGATGAGAACAGAAATTAGTGGGTTAGGTGAAACTGGCCCGGGGAGAGTATATACAGTGGTAGAGGAAAGAAGGAAGGCGTCAGCTGTATCACGTCTTCGCTTATCCACCCTGCCATATGCAGCAGGTAAGGCGACAATTTCCTAAGGCCACTGCGCCTCATACTATGGTTGATGTTGCATACATCATGCATCTTCACCGCAGTCAGGCTAAACTGACTCACACTTAGACTAGATCTTATTAACTTGCATAAAAATCTTTCTCTTTGTTTGATTTGCTCAGTTCTGCTGCATATTCCGTGTCAATTTTGAGTTTATTTTCTTTCAAGTTCTGTGGTGGTTGTCAAATATCCCCGGGGTGGCTGCGCTTGGTGTGAATGTTCACACGGCGCCTACTTGTCTAACACCCACCCCCGCCGTTGCTGGCTCCAGGAGACTGTGAACTGTAGCTGGGATGTGAAGTGCACGGCCCTCGTGACCGCGCTAGGCTTATGCAATCAGTGTAGAGCGAACTACGGCCCAGCCACCATATTGTGCACGTTTGGTAGGTATGAATCCCAATATCGAGAAACAAAAATGTTGCCGCTTTGCATGTTGAAGGAGTGTGAGCCGGCTCCGTGGCTACAATCTCATCCTCAATTGCTGCACTCGAGACCGTAGGCTACAGTCAACCAGCAATAGTGAACAACGCGGCAAAGTACGCATCGGTTGCCGCCAAACAAACACCCGTTAGAGCACCGGTAACATTTGTGCCCGGACTAGAGAAAACAAAACCGCCACAGCACGGATGGCACACATCAGTGCCGTTCACAAATTCAACAAAACACCGGAAACTAAGCCTCCAAATCCAAAACCAGTAGCAACCAGGCACAACTATAGTGCCCTAAACATTGTATGCACAAATGTCCCCGAATCCAAACCCAATACAATTAAGGGTAAGTCGACGGACGATCGAAATCAGTGGGGTCCATCTGTACGTCGATCGGTGTCCATGCTAATCCCACGACATTAAGAAGAATCTTGTGCCAACCATACGCGTTGCACTACGGCGAACCCCGGTTACTTGGGGTAACACTAAACTCGACGCACGAGACTGAGGCCGTTCTGCCGTCTGCGAAGCGCCTCCGCAGCGACTCAAGTGGAATGCGCATACTACCCGAAATCCCGTGGTAAAGCGTTCAGGGGATTCCGCTAACAAAGATAGTTACGGAAAACGTCAAGATAAGAAAACACTGATTGCTCACGGTACTCTTGAGCTTACTGACTCCTCTTCCGACGATGCTCGGATGCACGACCGCGAGCAATGGCACTACATCCGGGAGGCTCTTTCTCTCGAAAATGTGGTGGTCACCTCGTTGACAAGGATCCCCATATCACCTAACTATAAGGGATGCGGTCCCAGGCTCTTAAATCTTGTGTTACAGTCAGAACTAATGGCACAAACCCTACTAGCAAACTAGATTAAATTCCGTTGCAGATTGCCAACAGAAATTCGTCTGAAAGCAACAGGAACACCAACACCTTCTAATGACAATTCAGTAGAGGCACAACTCTTAATGAAAACGCCAACTGCAGGATCCGACTCGGGGACGGTTTCAACAGTAGCCATAATATCCGGAGGGGCACAGCAGAGCACGAGAAAACACCGGGATTCGGGGCATTTGATACCTGCTTATATATCAAATACTTCTCGGGAGTATGCAACCCATCCAAAAACGATTGGTCGCCGACCCTTTAATGGTCGGCGTAAACTCATTTGCTTCCTCCATCTAATCTAACACACTCTTGGTCTCCGAGAAGCTCTTATGCATGTACACAAATGCCTTAGGTGTACTCAGCAAATTAGCTGGACTACGACTCCGAAGTGCGTCTGCAGCTTGGGACCTCATCGCTGTCACCGAAACGTGGTTGCGCTGCGAGATAACCGATGCTGAAATTGCACTAACGGGCATGTCCGTTGTCCGGAAGGATCAAACCAGCAAAGGTGGTGGGGTAGCCCTTTACTTTCGCAACAACATGCAATGTAAACTCATAAACGATTCGGAAACTGACGTACCTGATGCCATCTGGTGTAATTTTCGGCTGAGAGGGAACGATCTTGGCCTATTGTTTGTTGTTTACCGCCCACCATCGTCTACTCCTGAGATGGACTTTAATTTGATGGCTGCGTTGAGGCAAGTGATAAACAGGGAGTACAGTCACATTCTAGTCACCGGTGACTTCAACCTACATGCCCTCGAATCCCAGGCCACACCAGGAGAGCAATTCAAAGCAGACCTGCAAGATCTGGTTTCATACTTCCCGCTTTATGGCCACGTCACTACGTCCACCAGATTCAGAGGTACTGACAGGCCATCCATGTTGGACCGAATATTCACCAATGAAGAATTAATGGTCCAGAGAGTAATAACCGATACTCCTTTGGGCCGCAGTGATCATGAGACCCTATTGTTTCATTACAAGTGCTACGCGGATTATCCTAAGGTGCACGTCGAGGAATATCGTGTCGTAACCAACTATGACGACCTGTCCGACCTAACTGACGCAACAAGCTGGTCATTCTTAGCTGAATTAACCCCCAGTGTGGCCTGCGGTGAATTCGTCAACATATTTACCAAGCTCATGACAAGGACATCTGAAACCAAACTCTACCGGCCTAAAAGGATGAAGTCCTTCGTAAGGAGCAGGACACGTAAATGCATGGCATTGAGGGACTTGGCATGGCATACCTATATAGCCTCCCCGAACGGCCATACCTGGGATGTCCATCCAATACAAAGGAACCACTGTGTCAACCTCCTCCGGGAGGATAAATTTAAAAAATACAAGGTCTAGTGTAAAAGTTTTGCTCCAATCCCAAACTGCCATACAGGCACGTAAACAATTTGCGCCGTGTTAAGCGCGGTATTCCTGCTCTGCACACAGCATGCGGGTTAGCCCCAACCATACCAGTCAGCCAACGTCCTTGGACAACAATTTGGCTCTACCTTCCTAAGCGCGCAATCATCATACATCCTGCCCAAGCAGATAACCTCGCCATGAGGGCTTAGTCACATATCGTTCACCTTCGCAGCTGTACTGTAGCGGCTGATGTCTTTACTCGAGTTCAGCTCCCCGGGCGCGGACAGCATTCGTCCGAAGGCGTTGAAAGCTGCTGCCATGAGGTTGGCAGGACCATTAGCGATTTTCTTTCAACGATGTCTGAACGAGATGCATGTCTCCACGATGTGGAAGCAAGGAATCATCACGCCTAGCTATAAAAGTGGTGGCCGTGTTGAACCAACAAATTATGGCCTGATAACACCACTTTCTGTGATCTCCAAGGTCATGGAGTCTATCGCAGCTGAGGCTTTAATGGGGTACATGGAGAATAAAAAGTTTCGTTCCGAAACAGCATGGATTTCGCCAAACTCGCTCCTGTACAACTAATCTCTTGATTGCTCGTGCAAACTGGACGGAATCTGTGGACGCTGTTGCAGGAGTCGACGCGGCCTACTTGGATTTCTTAAAGGCATTCGACCGCATAGACCAACGCATTTTCCTCCACAAACTCCAGAAATATGGAATCGGAGATCCTGTTCTGGTTTGGATAGGAGACTTTATCGTGCGTCATCTGAATTTGCGGGTTAGAAGTAACCTAACAGAACCCGTCGAAGTTCAATGCAGCGTACTTCA